CTAAGCACAAAATGTAATTTCTTCCCTTCAGTATGACTGACCCCGCTAAAGTCATGTGCATATCCCTAGACCAATGTCAGTCACTAGAGAATGCCAGGTACTGACTGGCTTGGAAATAGTTCACTCTCTGGTTCTGGGGATGAGATGGGAACCTGCCCAAAATATGGGTGAGAGGAAGGAAATAAAAGATGTGAAAGAAGCAAACAAAGGTGTCTATTACAAAAGATCTTTTTTAAAAAGTACATACATATACAAAATTTTAAAAATTTTCTTTGGAGAAAGAAAATTAGATCTCCAAATCTCTATATATAGAGAAAGAATATTAGAGTTAGAATATGCTCAGAAAAATCTCTGGAAGACAAAACTCCAAAATGTTTTCAGTGGTTGTTAATATGGAGAAGAATGGAATGATAGATGGCTATATAAAAGTAAGAGATTTTCCAATTACTACTTTCCTCTTCTTTTCCTTTTGGGAAGGACTATACATGTTTTATTATTATAATAAAAATAATTAAAAGAATAAAATGTTTCTCAATATAATTCTTACTTGGAATTAAACCTTCTATTTTATTCTGTAAAATTTAATTTTCTATAATAACATTGATACTGACTTATTCAATAAAAAATGAGATTCTGCTGTTCCAGAGTCATCATCTGATTTCTTCCTTGTGTTATGGGTGACACAACAGTGAATTTCAAGATTCCTTATCCTCCCATCTTTTAAATAATTACTGAATTCCAGCACAGTTCACACCTCTTATTGCAAATTGCAGAAATAGATACTCTGGAACAAGATGAAAATGTCACTGTGGCCCAAGGGTGCAAGAGCACCTGGCTCCAGGAATCCCAAACAGACCAGGTTTGGCCACTTAACACTGACAAAATCCAAAGGCAGAGATGAGCAGTGGTGAAACAAGAAAGGAATGTAATTTGGTGAGGCCAACACCCAGAAGACAGAGGACTGATGTCCCTAAGTATATTTAGCACTGTCTCTAAAGGTTTATATGAGGGAAATGTGGAACAAAAGTTGGTGGGTACATGTAGGTGAGCAGTAAAGTTCAGGTCAGTCACTGCCTTGGGGTCAGTTATGTGGGGTCTTGCTAGCATCAGGGCAGTTGTTATTGTTTGAGGATGTGGTTTTGGCTCCTATCATGGGATGCTTTGCCTGACAGATCTTTTGCCTGAGTTCAAAGATAAGCCGAAAAAAAGAACTTAATTAGGTAGAACGTACACATTGAGGTCAAAATAAAGGTAACTAAAGTCCTATTTCAATATGGCATGTCTCTACAATTCACATCTCTTCTTTATCCTGTCTATTTTACTATCCTGGTTGAAAAGTCTCATAATCCTATCAAAATGGTGTTCATATAAATTTGTGCTTTCCTTTATTTCTGCTTGGTAGCATCTTCTCCCTTCCAATGACTTCCATGACTACTACCAAATCTCCATCTCCCCAAGTTCCCCATTGAATCTCAGCCCTCCTCATTCCCAGAAGATGTTCTTGTCTTTGCTTTGAGAAAACTGGGCCATGACTCTTCTTCCTCTCTATTTTCATCTACAATCTTACAAATTCCCATAAATCCTTAACAACTCTTATCCCAGTCAAAGGATAAGATTCCCCTCTGTCAGTAGAAGACCAAATCAATCATTAAGTCCTTTACTCCATCTTTCCCTCCTACTCCAGAACTTTGCCCCTTCAGTCATCTGATATCTCTTGTTCCTTTGCTTTTTCAATTACATTCACTGGCTCTTCACCTTCAAGATTTTCCTATCCATCCAGACCTACACCCTAAGCTTTGAATCATGTCTAGTAAACTGACCTTCCATGAGTAAATATAATATATGTCTTTTGTTCAGGGTTAAATCTCCAGCACCTAAGATATTACTCACTGGTAATACTGAATATTTGCTCAGTAAATACTTGTTGGTTGGATGAATGAATATGCAACTGCCTGTTGGATTCCTCACCTAGATATCCACAGGTCCTCAAAAGTGAACTCTTCATCTGCCTCATTGGTAGCTTCTCAAATGTGTCATTTCCCATGTATGGTAGAGAAGCTGCCATAATTCAATGGATTTAAGAGACCCAAAAGGGGAGACAGTAGATGTCTCAAGGATAGCTTGTATGAACTGAGATTATACCCTGTCCCTCCCCTGCATGCCGGATCTAAGAACCATAGAACAGCCTTAAGTGGAAGTCCCAGGAAAAACTTAAGCTACATTTTCTGCTAGCCAGCTTGAATGAGGGGATGCTCCAAGTCTGAAAGTGTATTAGAGAAAATAACATAATATTTCTTATAAACCTGACTGGTAGACTGTGATATAAAGATACATACATACTCAATAAAAGAGGAATAGAACAATGACAGAGCAAGGTAATCTTGTTGGAAGATAGGGGAAAGCTTTGTAAAGATTTTAACTTTTGGTTGGGCCTTGAGATTTGAGACAGTTTAGGAAAGAATCTCTTAGCTTGTTACTCTGATTCCACCCCAACTGAGTGTACCGAAAATCAATTTTGGTACAAACCACCCAGAGTTAGGACATGCCCCTCAAGTGATAGGGAACAGTCCCCAACAAGAATGTTCCTACTTCAGATGTTTACTTCTTACTTCAGGGCTATTCACACATCAGTATTAGTCAAGGTTCTCCAGAGAAACAGAATCAATAGTGGGTGTGAATGTGGGCTGGGGTCGGGGTGGGGGGTGAAGAGGGAAAAAAAGAGAGAGAGAGAGAGAACTAGACGTAGATTTATTTCAAGAAATTGGTTCGCATGATCGTGAGGGCTGGCAAGTACATATAGCAAGCTGGCATCAGGTAAGAGTTGGTGTTGAAGTCGAGTCTGATTTCTGTGGGACAGGCTACAAATTCAGGAAGGATTTTTACATTGCAGTCTTGAATTTATAATCTCTTTGTTCAAAATGCAGGTTCCTATGACACCCTCAGTTTCAGTAAGTCACTAGAATGATCCAAACTCAGGAAAGCATTATGCTTACTGACAATTACAGTTTCATTATAAAGAATGCAAATCAGGAGGACCAGCCATATAAAGAGACATGTAAGTCTGAGAGGAAATGCAGTGTGCTCTCTTCTCTTCTTATGAAATCAAGGCATGTCACACTTCCAGCAAATCAATGTTCACCAACCAGGAGGTACCACTGAGACTCAGTGTTAAGAGTTTTTAGAGAGGCTCATTATGTGGTGACCAGGATGGGGGCTCCTCACCAGAAAGCTGCACCATATGATGAAAGAGTTGGCACTTTGAGCCAGCCCACCTCTGAACAGGGGAGGGGTTCTGGAGATGGAGTTCATCATCTTTATTGTGATATTTTATATACAATTAATTAGAACAGAGGTATCTAAAAATACCCTAAAGACACAAACATCACCCTCAAATGGGTGAGGCACTCCAGATCCTGAATCCATGACGTTTCACTGACTTGTCTAATTAGCATACCCAAAGTGAAGAGTGTGTCCCTTCTATGGGTAGTTAGTCAGCTAAGAAGCACTGAGAAAGAGAGAGGTCAGAGAGGGCATCTTTAAGAGTTCCTTCCAAGGATTATTGTAAAAAGAACATTATGGTATTACTGGCAAGATGAATGCAAAAACTGTCAGCCTAATTTCATTAAATATTCAAATCTTCATGCCCTTTGTTCTGATTCCAGTGACCAAACAACCTTATAATTATGTTTCCAACAAGAGATCTTCCCCAGGGCACAAATTTTCTCATTTACTAACATGAATAACTTTGTTCCAGTATGTGAAATGAGACACAGCTACAACTCCCCACAGAAAGCTCCTGCATAGACATAAATGGAAAATTCCTAGTCCCTATATCATAGAGACGAATAAAGAAAGGATGAGTTGCTTCAGTGTTGTTGTAGCACGAATTTCAAGGTCTGGAATAGAGCCATAAAGGCCCAAGTGACCAGACTCGATAAGTGGGGAACCATTACCCGATATGGTTGTAGAAGTTGTTTTCTTGGTTGTTAAAATGGTTAAGGATAGAAAGACCTCCATTCTACACTTCTGCAACCTGGCAAATATCTTATTCCACATGGATTACCAAGACTACCAAGCATGCCTCCCTAAAAAAAATGGAAGGCAATGGGGACTGCTGTTTTAAGTGGCAGAGACAGCTAGTGGGCCACTAAAATGTGTACTGTCCTTACGTTAGATGGATTTTCACCAGCAAGAAGATTTCCTGACTGGGACTACACTTCCAAGCCTCCCCTGCATTTTCATGTAATTATGTGACTAGTTATCATCAAATGAAATGCCAGCAGAAAAGAGGGTGTCCCTTCCAAACCATAGCTTTTCAGAAAGTTCTTCAGTCTCCTCTACACACTCTTCCACTTCAGGTACATGAATATCATTGATTACAAAACCCTGGGAAACAGCAGAACTACCAAATGGAGGAATCTTGCAACCCAGAATCCCTACACGGAGGAAAGCTGTTCATCAACCACAAACAGCCGATACATAATACTGCTTCCTGAATGAAGAATAAATATCCATTGTTTGAACTTTTATAAATTTTAGGGTTTTTTTTTTTTCCTACAGAGAACATGACCCTAACAGGCCATAGTAGGTGAATGGCTTGGTATTCCAGTTTTAGCAACGGTTGCCATGAGCTTGCTCAGTGTAGGTCTCTCTTGAGTGACAACCTACCCTCGGTGGACTGACACATTCAGATCCTCAAAGCTGGAAGGCTGGGGGACCCAGCCCTGAGCTGTGAGAAATTCTCCAATTAAAATGCCAGCACACAAGGTCTCTTGGAAGTGCTATTTCTCTCCTACATATGCCTGTGAGGCACATACATTTTCCCGACACTTCCTTCATATTTTCAGTACTTCAAGGATAAAGAGAGGATGGCCCAGCAGTCAAAAATCACAAATTATGACGGCCAACTAGGGATGGGCAAATAATAAACCAAAAGTACTGGAAATACATAAGCTGGTATCTCTATCCATTGTGACTTGAAGTGTTACCTTAAAACCAGAGGCATCAATATCACAGAGAAGCTTGTTAGCGAAGCTAAAGTTCGAACACCAATCCAGCCTTCTGAAACAGAAGCATCATTTTAACAAGAGCCTCCGGTGATTCGGGTGCTCATTAAAGTTCAAGAAGTGGGGCACCTGGGTGGCTCATTTGGTTGAGCATGTGACTCTTGGTTTAGGCTTAGGTAATGCTCACACAGTTTGTGAGTTTGAGCCCCATGTCAGGCTCTGCACTGACAGACAGCCTAGCTCTCTTCCTCTTTTCTCTCTGTTCCTCCCCTGCTTGCACTGTCTCTTTCTCTCAAAATAAATAATTTTTTTAAAATTTAAGTTTAAGAAGCACAGAGTCAGCCTCTCCTCTCCCACTTTATTGCCTCATCCTTTCACGGTGAAGGGCCTGTGGTTATATGTGTAATCAATTTCCAGCCACTTTTGTTTCCCAAGAAGCAGATATTAGAGGAGGAGAAATGGGTCTGGAAACCTGGTATCACCTGCCTTGTGAAGGAGCCTGAATGTGGGTTCTAAAGATGAATTCCCAAAACATTTTCAAAGTCTTCTTCATTTATTTCCCTTAAAGCTCCAGAAAGTCTCCAAGGCTTCTTATAGGCACATAGATTTCCCTGTACATCACTTTTTGTCCTAATGGGCTGACCCAGGAAGTGATCCTACTCCATAAAAACCCAGCCTTCAACTAATGGGGCCAACTGAGCTCACCCACCTTTTGTCCCCAGAATCACCTATGTCCCCTGTTCGTGCACGTGTTAGAATTTGCTGACTTTAAATCCCTGGATCAAAATATGAAAATAAGGGGAAAAAAGCCATTAAATTTCAGAATAAAATAAGTTTTATTTGTATTCACCAAGAGACATATTAAAATAAGTAATCTCAGGGCATTTTACACAGTCAGGTGTTCATCCAATCCTTTTATCATCACCACCTGCTAAAGGCTCTAAAGACAACAAATCAGTGAAGGTTGGAGAAACATCTACAGTTACAGCCATAAGGGGAACAACTGTAACAAGAAATACATTATTTCACTTTCCAGCCTCGCTTCGTGGCTTTCCGTCTGCCTTCCGTTCTTCCTTTCTTTCTGATTTTAAAATATATCCTGAGGCATTTAAGAAAATGAATATGTTCCAGGCAATTAAGTAAGATGACTGAAATCTATTGCTTTTAAAATCCTAGTTTTTTCAGAAACTTTAGTTTATACTTTATCAAAAATCTATAGCAATGGACTTCTTTCAAAGTCATTCCACTTTCTGAGAGTCCCTGATTTCCAAATAATTAATAGAAAGTGTCATAATCTCCAGGATTTTGTCATCATTAAAATGAAATAGGCGTCTGTGTCAATAGAAGCACTAACACCAGCATAATAGTTCAAAAATTCTTCTTCTGAAACCTGGGGGGAGAGGGGAGATAAAGGCAAAGGAAAAGAAGGAAATGGTGTCAAAATATGTGAGTCATAGTAGAGAATTTTACATTCTCCCTGAAATGTTTTCTATTGAGTCTGATTTCCCATTGGCAATCAAGAAAAATCAAGTAATTGAGGATCAGGGTACCTGGCTTTCCTTTCCCCTCAAACATGGGCATTTGCAAGGTTTGCCAAACCACTGGCCATCATTTATTTCGCATTAAGATAAAAATGTTTAGAACTGTGCTATTCAGTACAATAGCCACTTGTCACATATGGCTTTCTAAATTTAAATGAGGTAAAATTAAACATAATAAAAAACTGAGTTCCTCAGCTGCACTAGCCACATTTCAACAGCTCAGTAGCCATATGTGGCTAGTGGCTGACATCTTGGAGAGCACAGATGTAGAATATTTCCATCATCACAGAAGATTCTATGGGAGAGCACTTCTCTAGAGCATTCTTTGTATGATCATACTTGTGATTATTATTAATACATTAGGGGAGAGAAATTTATAGTATAAATGCACAGATAAAAAGCTCTTTAGGGAAAGTTTAGAGTGATCACATAAATCAAGATAGAACTAGAGAGTGGGGTACTTCCCAGCATCCTTGGGCACCCAGGAATCCATGATGCCTGGTATTCAATAGCAGAGGCAAGGAACTAGCAATATGGGAGGTGCTAGAAGGCCAATTTCTTGATTTGGTTAGGATACGTATTAGCATCTCATAGTTGGCCCTGTGCCTCCTGTAATGGGAAATGAGAAAGTAAAAGAGCAGGAATCAGCCCCCAGGTTCCATTTCTCTCTCATCCCTCTTAACCTCTCCCAATCCTCAATACCAACACATAGAGTAATTCTATTGCCCACAGTCCTAGGGGCACCACTCAGAGGCTGGGCAATGTACGAACTTGCTTGGCCCGCTAGATAGAAGTAGTCCAAGCCTGCAAGGAAATAAATGTTAACATTAAATGTTCAAACTCCCATTCTTGGCTGTCAAAATAATGGGTTTTTTTTGGGGGGGGGGTGGAGGGGTGGATTACTTTTGTTTTTTTAAAAACATGAGCGAGTACAGTTTGAACAGGGCCTTATCATTTTTAAAGAAGAAATTCCATCACCTGCAACTGAAATATCACACACATAACATTTTTAAATGATCCAAAAGCACCGTCTGGGAAGTCAACTTTTAAAGAGGCATGATACGTAACATGTTAGCTAATAAGAAGAAAGAGATTTTAGAAAGAACTTAAGACAGAAACAAAAGCTAGATGAACCCTTTTAGTACAACAGTTATTAATGTTTTCAGGCCTTAAACTAAAGAAATTTCTATTAAATCAGAATCATGTTAATGGCAAGGCATGGTATGATAAAATGACAATGACAAAGTTGGTATTATATATTAAACCATATCTAATTTTGTAGCTCAAAAACCTCAATTTCTGGCTCCTCAAAGTAATATCCTAACTATTGCTGTTATGACACATTCTTGTTTTCAATGCATATCTAGCTTACTACTGTAAGCATGTGTAGCTTTTTAAACAAAATATTTTCAAATTCATAGCATAAATGTCACGGAAATTCTGCTTTATAGAATATTGTTTTTCAGCTTCGATTTCTATTTAAAATACAATCAGGATAGGATTTACATACAGGAACACCTCAATATCTAGTAAATAGTTTGTGTTAAAGTTATATAAATAAAGCATTGCCATCAAACAATTGGCCTAGGATGGTTTTCAGATATGTGGGAATTTTTTAGGACTAGCTTACTAATTATATCCATACGCAAATAGATCTCTCTAAGTATGTATAAAACACACATGAACGTAGGTAGGCACAGCTCTTATAATCTTTATATACTGACTTGCATAACAGCCCATCCTTTTTAGTATAGATGAAACAAAAGTAAATTTAGCAAAGCTTAAATTAATAGTGATTTATTATATTTACTGTGCAGCTTCAAAGATAATCTTAAATAAATGGATGCTGAATAATATTGCTAAATGAGATTTGAGGCATGACTAAGTATGTAATCTGTGGAATGGGATTTATTTTCCAGCCCCCCTTGGAAACTAAAAGAATGATCTGGGTCTCATAAGGCAGTGCCTGACGTTTGGTAATGCTCTGCTTTGGGGCTGCACTTTATCCCATCAAGGTGGAAGGGCTCTGTGGCTCCTTATCACCATGGCAAAAGCAAAGTACTCTGCCGTCTGTCATTTTCTCTCAATTACAGGTTCCTTTCCTGTTCTAAGGCTCTCTCCAATCACTGATTGTCATCAGTTCCGCATGTGGCCTGAGTGTTTCTAGGAGACAAGCAACTCAAACCTTTCAAGTTTAAGATCAAGATGTTCCCAGAATCAATACCAGTGTATTAGCACCAAGTCTTAAGATTGGTAGAAAAAAAAGTTGCTCAAGTCTTTCATGACAGGATTACAAGCTACATACTCAGGCCTGGCTTCAAAATTTCAGGTACTTGATCTCTGAGTCACAGGGCCCATCTTAAATTTATTACGGGGTCTACAATATAGTCTAGAATATATTCTAGAATCAAACTGGAGATGAATGATAGTTACATGGGCAGCATAATGGGTGTGACCCTGTGCACATTTCAGCTATCTGCCGCTTGACCCCATGTTGGGAGCGAGAGTGGGAACAGGAAACCCACGGTGCTCACAGGAACTTTGGTGAAACGGAAATTGCATCACCCATGTTCAATGGCTGTTAGTTAGGATTTGTGTAATACTCCAGAGAAACCATAAACAAACTAATTCCACTTATGAAGAGGAAGAAGAATCTAGAACAAAAGAAAATAGACCATTACATTTGGAGATTTTCCTTTCCCTGAGACAATATACCTTTCTGGTAGTTGCAAGGTCCATTATCAAAACTTCGGCTACTGGTTGGTGGCTCATAGTTTCAGTGTGTTGCACTCCTAACAAGCACCTTCCACTCTATTCTGCTGAGGGAAGATACTGGCTTTGGCGAAGCAGGTGTGAAAATAAAACAAGAAGGTCATGCTATTCTCAGAGAGGAAGAGCTGCTTCACCACAACCTCTCACCACACTAACTGAGGTGGTAAAAGAACTCTTCTCACACAGCAGTGTTCTCAGAACCCCCATCAATCATTTGTTTATGTTGCTTTCAACAGATTTCACCTGTCATCCGTTTTATAAGATATGATTTTAGGGGATTCATTTAGTGAGGCTTTTTATGACAAGAAAAGAACCGGCTATCTCTGTCAAGGCTATGTAGTTTCCACATCAGCAACCTGGAAGAGTACGATGCTTAGAAACATTGGCTTTCAAAAGGATCAATTATACGAAGATCACATTATACGGCAACCTATCATATCCTTGGCCCCTTTGTTTTTCCTTGAATCATAAGCATTTCTGAAATGTTAAACTTTGCTGCTTCTTTCAACAGGCTCTTAATTTAAAAGAAGAGCCTATAATTTCCAGGAAAACAATTCTATGGATTGAACTGAGAAATTAGAATTTGTGGGGGTTTTCATTCTATGCACCAGAGAGTTGTGCATAAACCCAAAAGGGTATACCACTCAGAGATGTTAGTAGAATTTCAGGAAAGAGGGGCAGAAGGGCACCCACACACCAGCAAAGAACTCATTTGGTTAATTTCATCTCTCCACTTGATTAAACATCAGCAGAACAAATGGCATGTGTACTGCCTAAAGAAGGTTGAATCATTACTTACTTGAACTTCTGGGGCTCAGTGAGGCAAACCACACTGGCTAAGAGAAGTGAAGGGAAGACACGATGGTCTGCTTCCAAGAATAGAGGGGTATTTTCCCAGCATTGTCTTGATAGATTGTCTACATCGCCATATAAAGGGATGCAACAATCCCAGCTTCAGTGCCTATGCTTCCTCTCCTCTGTGATCTCTTAGCTCTGGGCTATTAGTTTGATATGAAAGCCAGTGGTTTTGTTTATATTCATTCTAGCTCCTTCCTCTACCCCCACAGCCTAGAATAGAACAGGGCACATAGCAGTGACTCAATAAATATTTACCAGTTAGGTATTTACATGTTGGGTATTCAACCTAACGCTGTGATGCAACAAAGCTCATCTACAGCCTACTTGGCAGGGGACCAGCTCTGCCTTAGAAAACTGCTACTCTAGGGTGTGAAGTGTTACTCCATACTGCCACCAAACCACCAAGAGCCACACATCAGCCCCCAGGGTGCTATTTGGGTCTGGGCGAAAAACTCTATCAATGTTTGAATATCTACAAAAATCAGAAAATTAGCCTTGCTGACGGACAGAAGGAATCGTGTCTTGGACTAGAACACGGGTGCTTCCTGGATTGCTCACCTGCGCTTCTGAAAGGAACTCGGGCAGGACTATGAACCAGCCCTTGAACAGAGGCTTAGTTAGGGTCAGACCTCTGTTCCTCCCCAGGTTTGCCTTTAGGGGGAGCTAGAACTCAGATTCAGCACTGATACTGTCGACTTATTCTGACCAATCCCGATGCTCAGCATATTCACATACGCTGTTTCTGTTTCAGGAGAAGCTACTATATCCATCCTCTTATCTTTGGCTTGTTTATTTACTTGCTCTCTGGGGTTCAGGCCCCACAGGGAAGGTCCTTCTACGGGTTATTTTGGAGATTTTTTTTTTATTGTGTTTTACTTTCTGACCTCAATACTTGCTTTTTAATTCGCAAATGGAGTAAAATTTAAATTGTGAAAGTCAAATAAATAGAAAATACATCCAGAAAAGTATTAGCAAATTATTTTTCTTAAATCACTCTTCTCTGTCCCACCCACTGCTTCTCTGTCCCTCCCACTGCTACCAGAAGGAATAGAGTTAAATAAGTGACTCTGACTCAGCCAGAAATCACAAATAAGGAGCAAAACAGGAGTGGAGTGATCCTTAATCATCAATTTGTTAGATCTTGTGGGGGGGTGGGAGGAGACCATGGAAGAAGCCCTTGGTGGAATTCTTGCTTGTGGGCCCAGAGCCTGACCTGCCAGAAGGGATATAACTGAATGTGACCAAATACACTGTGAAGCACGTGTTATCTAAAATCTGTGAGCTATGGCCTATGCCCCATTTAGACAGGAAGCAAAAATATCACTGGGGGAGACGAAGCTGATAGCTATGACCTAGTCCTTGTTCAGAATCACATGCTAACTCTATGGCCCCAGTTAAGCAGAGGCATGAGTCATTCCCAGAATCAAAGACATAGATCTATCTAGAGCAGTAGGCTTGAAACTGCCCATGGCCAGGAAACCAGGGACCTCTCCTTAGCCATAGCAACAAAGTGCAGGTTACAGAAAACATGGATTTTTTTTTCCTATACAGCCCATCACAATTCTGATTTCTACCTCATTTCTATATATTTCTTCATTATACTTGGTATCTTTCAGCCTGCCAATCTCTATATAAGCTTAGATAATAAAGCCAGTGGAGAACCAAACTTGTGTCATTAATTTCTGAAAAAGTAGCTTTCCAAAATTTGGGGATGCTCCCATCCTCAAGAAAAAGGTCACTTTTCCAGCCTGTCATCAGAGTCTGTGGGAGTTTAGCTTCTTGACAACAAACAAACTGCCATGATTCTCACCTGGAAACACATGCTCTAAACACAAATTTTAAATCAAAGTATATCTTGATCTCAACTTCCAAGTCTGTGAGACAAAAAGTAAACAAGTGAGGGGCGCCTGGGTGGCTCAGTCGGTTAAGCGTCCGACTTCTGCTCAGGTCATGATCTTGTGGTTCTTGAGTTCGAGCTCCACATCAGGTTCTGTGCTGACAGCTGGGAGCCTGGAGCGTGCTTCAGACTCTGTGTGTCCCTCTCTCTCTGCCCCTTCCCTGCTCATGATCTGTCTTTCTTTGTCTTTCAAAAAATAAATAAATGGTAAAAAAAATTTTTTTTAAGTAAACAAATGAATTGGTACAAAATATGGCAAGTGTGCTTGACCCTAAATCCAGAGTCACTTAAATACTTGGATCTTAAAGGGGGCTATTACCCCAATCCATACCCCCAAGCCAGGGGATGAGAGCAGCCAGGGACAGAGGAGACAAAAAAGGATGGTCCTTGATTACAAGGCAGGTGGTTATCACCTCCAGCACCATAGCCAAAGGGCTGATCACTGTTTTTATCTTTGGCTCCAGACACAGAACACATAGAGGGAGATTGATAGTTTCAACATCCTTTTTCTAACAACTGAAGCTGCCTTTGTCTCAAAGCCTTTATGGGGAGATTCTCGCACATTGACAATACGAAGCCAAAGCTTAGAGCAGGAAGGAGAACACTTTGGGCCATAAACTGTCAAGATGGAACACCCTCTTTGAAGTAGACCTGTGACCCTTGTTTATGTCATAACCCACCTCTTGTAATGGTGGGAATGTCAACATCATTGGCCCATGGCAGGGCGAGGGGAGATGAACGTTCCACCAGACAAAAGTTTGATGATACAGTCTGTTCACTCACAAGACAAGAGGTCCCCCATAAAATCTGAGAGCACAGCCAAGCGTAGAATTTTAACCATAGGGATTGTCCTAGTTCTACTGCTCAAGGAAATGGCCTCCCACCTCACAGAAGCTTTAGATGACCCAAAAATGTCATTCTAAATCTATTCACCAAACCGAAGCTCCCCTAAACCATGGGCAGAGAAACTCAAGATTCAGGTATAAAAATTGAGGCTGATGTGTGGTTCTCTTCTGGTCCCCAATTTGGAACCAAAGCTCTTAAAGTCAGGAGGGTGGCTGGGTGGCTCAGTCAGTTAAGCATCTGACTCTTGGTTTCAGTTCAGGTCATGATCTCACAGTTCATGAGTTCAAGCCCCTCATCTGGCTCCTCTGTGATGATAACATGAAGTCTGCTTGGGATTCTCTCTCTCTCCCTCTCTCTCTACCCCTAACCCCATTCGTGTGTGCTTGTGAGCTCTCTCTCCCTCTCTATGTCTCTATCTCAAAATAAATAAATAAACTTAAAGAAAATTTACAGTCAGTCATAAAAACAGATGAATTCTCACTCTTAGAAATAGACTGTCTACAAGGATGTGGAGAAAGACTGTGGGTGCAGAGGAAGGGATTATAATTAAAATACTCAAACTTTTATTAATGGCCAAGGAGGGCACCTAATGTTTATTAGACACATGTACGTATCCTAGCACCTGGTTCTAAGAGCTTTCCAAATCTTATTTTAATTAATTCCTATATTAGAGCTAAGGAAACAGTTTCAGAGAAGTTAAGTCACAGTTAACTACACAGTGTTATGTCTGCCCTAGAAAATGCAGTGTGTGTCAACAGCGAAGAATCACTGTGATGAACATGAAATCAAATGCGATCCTGGTTTGGGGCTGATGTTTAATCATTTGGAGCCATGTCTGGACCCAGTGCCCTGGTCCCCAGGTCCTACATTTAGAGCTTCCAGGCAGTTCTCATCATGACGATGAAATACACATCAGTGTCAATGGATGCGCTCACCCCTGCATAGTAGTTCATAAATTCCTCGGGGGTCACCTGCAGTAGAAAAGTTAGAAACAAAAACATAACTTTGCTTCCCACCATTTCAATGGAAGCCTATTTCTAGTACCTGTAAATGGGAGGGAACTTTGGTGAAGGAGGCTTTTAGTGACACAGATCAAGAATAGATCTCAGACAAGAGCAAAGAGTCAAGTTGAGGATGGCCGTGAGGGGTGGCAGAGGGAAAGATGAGTAAAAAGTCTTGAAAATTTCCAGACCAACTTAAATGGAAAGTGAAATATAGGTTCTCGCCTCTCTTTAAGAGCAGGAGCCCATCTGTTCGGATCAGTGAGACTGAAATTCAGAGTAAGAAACAAGTTTCTTTAGCTGTAGTTAGTACGGGTTTTCTGTGACACGTCAGAAACAACACGGCATGTCCTGGGGTGAGGGCAAGTAATGTTGTACCTCTTAAAAAGTGGAATTCTGTCCTGAGGATAAAGAAACAGATTTATAGTTAAATACTCCTTAGCTTCATGCTTTTTTAAGATAGAAATTACTCATTTGAGGCACAAAGTGAGTCAAATAAGGCACCCCTTGCTCCATGCCCCCTCACACTAGTCTGGGTTCTCTCCATCCTATTCTTAGAACTGTCTTTTTGGAATAGCAACCAATGTGTTTTTCAAGGCTAGGTTTTATATCACTTTCCTTCTAAGAAGAAGAAACAACAGGTATCACTATTAGTTTTTTAATATCTGTCAGTGATACGTACACTGCAATTCAACCATACTGGCTAACAGGATTAGTTGACTCAGGGAAGAATTGTCTTCCTGTGTGAAGGATCTCTGTGACCAATCAATCTAGCCCAAAGTACAGCGCCGCTCCCATGGGAGGACACAGACATGACAACGATGGCTGTTTGAGAAATCTGTTGTTCTCTAGTTAGCCCTCAATTTAAATTTTTTTAATGTTTATTTTTGAGAGAGAGAGACAGAGTACGAGTGGGGGAAGGGCAGAGAGATAGGGAGACACAGAATCCAAAGCAGGCTCAGACAGCTGACAGCTCAGAGCCTGACTCAGGGCTTGAACCCACAAACTGTGAGATCATGACCTGAGCCAAAGTCAATCCCTTAATCAACTAAGCCACTCAGGTGCCTCTAGTTAGCCCTCAATTTTAAATGTCACGAGGGATTAAAAACATCACAAAAAGTGAAATCCATTAATAATTCTAAACCCCTCTTCCAGAGTGCCTACCTGCATCTTCTAAGAATCATATAAACTGATTGACCAACTTGCCTTTTTTTTTTTACTGTAATCATAAGTGGACAGAGAACAAAAAGTCAGGGGATCCATATTTCTCTCCCTGTACTTACCTCCCCCACACACAAAATAATAAAAAGCAGAGACAAGAAAGTCATTGAACTGAACTAATAGTTGAGATGGACTCTTTGGTGGTCTGGAAGTAGAAATAAATATGTGCATAGCTTTTATTAAAAATTAGAAAACCATTAATATTCTCCTTTCTTCAATTTCTTTACTTACGTCCTCCTTTGCATTTCCCATTTATCCAGCATTAAACCTTATCTGGAAGTCAGATTATGTAAAACCAGACATCAGAACTAATATATCTGATCATTTCAAAAAAGGCCATCAGTTATTCTTAGTGAAGTGTTTGTTTGTTTCCTGAGACTCAAATTATACTCAGAATAGCCTGAATCACAAATCCTATAATTTCTCCAAGTTTTTCTTCATTGTAGTAAATTACTTTTCAGTCATGAAAACTATTCCTACTTAATTATTTTGTTTGATATTAGTAAAAAGTAAGAGAATGGACACCCCTGCTTTTGGTCAGCCTCTTGACTATGCTACCCTGCATTGATAGAATACTCGTTAAATAATGGAGAAGGTCCTAAATGGGAGCACTGGAAGTATTTGAGTCATGATACAGAACACAGTACTGTTTTATATGTTTCAGACTGATTAGAAAAATCATAAAATAAGTTTAGGTTGTTTATATACACTCAGTAATGTATTAAAATATTTTAATTATTAAAAACTTTCTGTATGAGAGAAGACAGCAAGACCCATATTCTCTCAAAGCCTAATCTACTTCTGAGAGATTTAAAAAATATATTTGTAATTGTAAAATAACATATACAAATGAAACCTCCCAAACCTAGATATTAAAAAAGTAAGAAGTGGGACACCTGGGTGGCTCAGTGGGTTAAACATCCAACTCCTGATTTTTGGCTTAGGTCATGCTCTCACACTTTGTCAGTTTGAGCCCTGTGTCAGGCTCCACACTGCCAGTGCTTAGAATTCTGTCTCCCTCTCTCTCTGCCCCTCCCCCGCTCATATGCTCTCTCTTTCTCTCTCTCTCGAAATAAATAAACATTTTAAAAAATAAAAATAGAAAAGTAAGAAGTGTAAATCTCACCCAATGAGGGTGGGGCTTAGGGGTAGAATTAGAGCGAAGAAGGTTCACTTCATACATGATTTGGTTGCTTTCATACTTCCATCCATATGGCTTCTGGTGCACAGGGGGCTCTGGGGGTGGGGCGTGAGGAATATTAGCACAGGATCCATTACATCAAAATCCATGACTGCTACAAAACCAGGAGTTTTTATGAACACCTGAGAACTCAGCCTAAACTATCAAAAATTCACAAATTTCAGCATCATAAGGAATATGCTAAATTTCTTTATCTTTTTAAAAATTTTTTAATGTTTTTTATTTATTTCTGAGAGAGAGAGATAGCCTGAGCAGGGGAGGGTCAGAGAGAGAAGGAGACACAGAATCTGAAGCAGGCTCCAGGCCCTGAGCTAGCCATCAGCACAAAGCCCGATGCAGGGCTTGAACCCACAAATCGTGTGATAATGAAGTCGGACGCTCAACCGACTGAGCCACCCAGGTGCCCCGGAGTATACTAAATTTCTTGGCTTATTCTAAATTTTGTCTTATTTTGATATCAGCTACATTTTTTAACCATATGTAACTGCACTGGCTTCAAGCATAGCTATGCTTCACCATAAGAAATCTTAACGTATAAAACAACTCAATTTGAAAAAGCTAAATTAAGGATTAATTCTTCTCTTTATAAAAGAATTTATCACGTTGTTTGTTTACGTCAATAGTTCTTTGTGCATTTAAAATATGATTCAATGTGCAAAAGTTTGAATTGTACATCACTTTCCAAAAACATTTTCATTATGTCTTTTAAGTGAGATATCCCTCTAAAACCCTTAGCACAATACCCAGTAGATAGGTAGTCAATAAATGATCCAGATCCATAATTATGCCAAATGAGGTTCATGTGTATATTATATGTAGTAAAAGAAAAAAGTACTTAAAAAAGCACTTCTGAATCTTTTAGAGACAGGGATCTCAAATATGAATGTGAATAAGAGCCATCTGGGGCACTTACTAAAACTGTAAATCCTTGATCTCCACCCAAAAATAATCAGATTCTGTAGTTCTGTGGTGCAGCCAGCAATGTACATTATTAATACGTAACCCAGATGATGATCATGCACAGTCAGCTGTATATTAATACAGGGTCTGTGATAGTCAGGTGATATCAAATACTGTTAACTACTAAAAACCCCAATGGCCTTTATGAGTATTTCAGAACTTAAGATGGCTTGTTAAAATAAATGTCAAAAGGGACAGGAGTGGGAACTTTAAATAAGCTGAATCATAACAACGGGCTACTTTGACTTGGGTTAGAGAAAAGGGCAGCTGAGGTTTCCCCTGACAACGAGGAGAAGGAACCACCTGCAGAGAGGAGGCAAGCACACCCTGGGATCTCATATAGAGGCGGGCTAATTTGGGGAAATGGCAGTTGACTATTTTTCCACTGCCATTTCAAAGATCAAAGGCCAACAATGTTGGAAGAAAACATATGGTTTAGTTCTGTTACCTCTGTCCCTAAGCATTAGGCTACACTGCAGAATCTACCCCCATCCCTTTTTTAAATCTACCTCTGTAGTCCCTTCAACTGAAATGAAGGGTATTTCTCTGTCCCCAAGAAGAAAATGTCAGTAGGAAGGATAAAAAGTGTGCCTTTCTATTCCCCTAGCCCCTTGCTAATAAGACTCACAATGAAATTTCATAGCAAAAGTTAGGGGTAACTCCCTTAAGAAGGGGAAGCCTTGTTTCCTATTCCTGTCATTAATATCTTTTCTTCCTGCCCAACGCCCCTCTACTCCTTCCTGTGTGACACAGGGGTTCGGAGGAACCCTCCCCAGGCGTCTGCTGCTGCTAACTGTGGCTGAAGTAGAACATTCCCTTCCCCATCATCAGAGCCTTCAGGACACCTAAGAGCAGAACTGTTCTGAGTTCAAAACACTTATGGCTGTTGATAAAAGACAGATGACATTGTCATCTCAGCCTGGACACAGTTGCAGAAATGTAATTCCTTACCCTACCAAGCTATGTGTTCATAACTTGAAGATACCAGTTAATGGAAATGGGGTGTTTTTAAGTTCACTATAGTTTAGAAATTCAAGTTAATCTCAAAGCCTACACAAGATGAAATCGAAGTAAATTCTGTTATCTGGCATTCCCTTTACTGAAAGCTTCCCTTAAATGGCACTTCCACATAGCAAAGTGTGATGACAAATGATATTGTAAGGATGAGTGTGAAAAGCACTTCAATATCCTGAAATACTTTGTGAATTGTGTTCCAAAAAATTAAATCATTATTTCATTTTGAGGTTAAATAGGCTTTACTCTAGTTCATTGGAATGTGGCTGGCTAAGTATGGTAAATATAAGTAACCATGAATGGAGTGTTAAATCAAAATATCATGTTCTCCAGATGATAGGTATTTAGCTGTATGTGGATTCCCCACCAATATATGTGCACACACACATATATTATCACTTTCATTCCCAACTTTCTAAATAGTCTCTAAGGAAATATTTTACTCCTATTTATAATGAATATGTTATAAGTATTTTTTAAGGCTTTGGACCTATTACCTAATTTCAATTACAAATTCGACAGAAGAAATTCCACTTAAGTTAAGCTCTTTTACTTACCAATCCATCTTTGTCATAGGGTGAATCAAAGTTATCCAGAAATTTCCTGAATACTTGTTCCTCTGTCCATTCTCCATTTTGGTACTTAGGATGGTGTTTCGCATTATACACCTCACGAAGATCTTCAATTGTTATAACTCCGTCTCCAGTTTTGTCTAACTTCCTAAAAGCTTGCATAATTACCTCTTTTCTGGCTCTAGACATTGGAGGCTAGATAAATAGATAGAAACACATATACAGACAAAAAAAGCAAATGAGCTTTTTTGGTAAGATATATGATGAAATATCTGATTCCTCTCAGTGGTATGAATTTGTTTGTCTGCTGTTAAAATGACATGCATTATTGTTACTCCAAAAGTCCCTAAACATGTTGTCAATCTCCTTCCCATCTCCTCCACAGCACAGTAACAACTTCTGAAAACAAAACCTCAAAATAGCCAACCCAAACCACGTGAAAGCCAAACTCAGCAGATACACTTATTCATGAGGCCACTTACCCTTAACGTGAGAAGAAATTCATTGAAGTCTATTGTTCCATTTCCATCTTTATCAAACCTCCGGAAGAGCTCTTCTGCCTCTTCCTTTTCCATGACCACAGCATAATCATTTAGCCCTTTCAGAAATTCTTTGAAATCAAGGGTTCGGTTGTTATTGTCATCCATAATTCGAAACACTCTGAAGAAAATGCACACGTGCACACACACACATACACACACACACACACACACACAGGAAAGAAAGAACAGAGAATAAGATGTCAGCATAAAGATTTAAAAATAAACCACTCTCAAGGTTATTCTCTGTACCCTCCTTCCAAAATTGGAGAGCCTCTTCCCAGCATCTCATAAAAGAAAAGCTTTAACAGAAAATGTACTAAATGATCCTAATTCTATGACATTTTGCAAAAGGCAAAACTATATGGACAATAAAAAGAAAAAGGAAGGAAGAGAATAGATGGAGCAACAGGGAATTTTTAGGACAGTGTAACCCACCTATAATGGTGGATACATGATACACTTGTGAAAGCCCATAGAACTGCAGAGTACAAAGAGTAAAATTCAGTGTATGCAAATTTTAAAATAACTATTTAGGAGGTTAGGGAATCCCAGGAAGGAAGGTGGACAGTGACAAGGGAACTCAACTGTATTACTAAAGTTTGAAACAACCTCAAACTTGGGAGGAGGTGGGGTATGAAGGTGCTGACTTAAGTGGCTCTGGAGATGAGTAGAGTCTGTAGGACTAAAGGCAAAAGGAACTACAGATAAGCACTGGACTCTAGTTGATAACAATATTTCCCATGGAGATTTAAGTTAAGAATTCTGACATTACTATAAGGTATACTGGAATTGAACAATTAAGTAAATCGATGGCAGATGGTGGGAGCCAGGCTTATCACTGTTGAAATAGGAATTTATAGATAAGCCAGGGGAGGAGGCTAGAATGGTCAGATGCATGTGGTAATAGGCTAGAGTTGGAGACATATGAACACATGTTTAGCTTAATATAAACACAGATGATTACATATAAAAATAGCTATAGATATGTACATATATTTACACATATACTTTCTTGTTCTGTCAGCTAAGAGAATCTAGAAGAAGTAACACCTAGAAGTAACCACAAGCACATCAAGAGCCTAGACCTTGGTTTACAATACAATTACCCAATAAAAGGAACGGGGCTTCTTGGAGAAATGTCTGATTCTAGAACTGGGACATGACATATGCAAGATGAGCTTGGAGTATCTTGTACAGAAAGTAAGGAAGTGATCAAAACAAACAAGCACATAAACTTAACACTGATGGGGATACATCGAAGGGACATAGGAGCCAACTGAAAGAGCTTCCAAAGCCCAAACTTCAAGAGTTTGAGCAATAAAATAGTGTTAAATTGTAACACAAAGTAAAAAATAAATATCAATGAGTCCATATTGGTTTAAAGAAATTATTAAATAAATAAATAAATAAATATTATTTAGAAAAAGACAAATTTCTCTTGCTGTAGAATTCCAAATAAATTATGCACATACTCTGCCCTCAAGGAGGGAAGCATACTCCCCACTCCCTAAGTGCAGATTTGCATGGAGACTTCCTTCCTTGCAGTCCAATATGGAATGGGGGGGGGGATGGTAACTTTACATTGGAGAAGCCAAACACAACCTCAGCCAGGTGGTAAAGATCAACACCAATAATGATAAATCATGTTGATGGTATGCATCCTTGACATGATGTGATGAAAATGGCACTTTACTTCTGTGGTCCCATAAAACCATAGCTCCAGTCTAATCATGAGAGGAAAATTAGGGGGGCAAGTTCCACTTGAGTTGAGGAGAGATTGAGAGAAGGGCAAAACTAGTAAAGAGGCCAAGACAGAGCACACAGTGGAGCAAAATGCCAAGGATGAGCCAATAAACTGGCTCACAATGAAAGGGCTAGGAGGGGTTGGGGAGTGGATAGGCAGCAAGAGGGACTCAACTGAGTGGGCCAGTGAGTGGAGAGAGGGCAGTGTTCCTGAGGGGTTTGCACCACGGGCAATGATACAGGTCCAGGGTGAGAGATGTGGAGGTTGTAGGTTGGGGTGATACAGTATTGAAGGGAAGTGGGCTAGTCTTCTTGCTGGACTGTGACCTCCTGGCCACCAGGATCCACGTGCCCACAGTCTGGGCTTTAGACAGAGCCAGGCTTCGTCTGAGAGTTTGAGACCGTTGAAGGTGACATCCCCAACGCTCAGTAAGTTCTTCGCTGTAAATGAGGTCATCTATAACCTCCAATGTGAGGTTGGACGCCCCTGCTGTGGCGCCCTGTATTTCTCTAACACTTAACATCACCACGGAGATTCTCATTTTTGTGACAGTCAGTTTCTTTAGTCTAAGTCTTGCCTGGGGCCTGGAGAAGCCTCGTTCACCCACGAACATACAACCACCTGGCCCATGGCTGGCACTCCATGGGGTCCGTTAAAAAGAGATCCTGCCAGCTGGAGGCTCACAATCTCTTTCTCCTGGTCCTGAGGACTTCTCACACTCTCAGAGGGTCAGGGGACAGACCCTATGGAGTTGGAAGAAGACCACCGGCAGTGAATACCCCACAGGCAATTCCAGTGCCCTTTGGAGGTGAGCAAGACGTGACTTCCTGAGAACGCCCTCTTCCCTCTTCCAAGCTGGCCCCCATTGTCACAGTTTCCAGCAGAGACCCTCTCTGCATCCTGCTGGATGTCCCTGGGACCTGGGCACGCTTCTCCCTTCACTTCAAATTTGTCCCAGGAGCTGTGCTCTCGTTGCAGACACAGCCTTGCTGAATCTGGGACTAAGAACCAAAAACTGTCACAAAGGACTTCAGAGATCAAATTTTACAAACTGTATTTTACAAATAGGGAACTGAGACCCTAGAAGAACAAGACTTGGTCAAGGTCACACAGCTAGTATTAGCCTCACCTGACAGCATCCTGCCTCCCCATGGCCGGGACCCTACCTGCCAAGTCCTTTGATGCCTGCAGAGCCCCTGGCCAGGCACTGAAGTCGGAGTCTTTCAATGGGATCAGTGGCCGTGGTGAGCTTTCTCTTGGCCTGGATCGCCATCTCTCGGTCATGGCGTGCTGTCCCCGCCATCTGAGAGGAGAATTCAAAGCCTGTTAGCAGAGCTCAGCTTCTCACCTGCTTCTGGCCCTTCAGGGTGACAGCAGTCTCTCCAAGAAACAGCCTCAAGCCTCTCAGAATCTCCAACTTTTATTTAGACCAACTATGTGCCCAGCATATTTCTTACTTATTTAGTCCAGAGAACACCCGATTTCTCTAGCCTGGACAACAGTTACAAATAAACAGCCTTTCCCAGTTACACGGTCATCTTGCTGAAACCCTCCTCCTACCAGAAAATAAAGAGTCTCACTTCCCTAACTCTCCTTTGTGGGTCAGCCTTATATACTTTATTCTTTTATTTAGCATTCTACATGTTCCCCTTTGACTCCACATTTAACATTCTCATCTATGGTTTAAACATTAACTTTTATTGTTTCTGTCTTGACTGAGATTCTCAACACTGCCCTCCCAGTAACTAGCATGTTTTGATGCACAGACTAGTGTCCATTAACACCTAGATTCTTAGGACAGAAAAAGGTAAATGGACGTTAACTCTCTCCTGACAAATAGATATACTACCTTTTTTCCAGTTTGGCTTTTGTGTTTTGAATATTCAGAGACTGCAGTGAAGCATCCTCTCCTGAGAGGTCCCTGAGCCTGCATTGGGGCTGGAGCTTTCAGAATTTGCACAACAGTGGGAAGCACGGTGGCCTGGGAACCTGGAGACCGAGTTTGAGTCCAGACTCCAACCCACTCCCAGAGATGTCTGTGCAAATCTCAGGGTCTCTGGTTTCTCCTCCTCTGTCAAATGGAAGGATTGGATTAAATGATCTGAGGGGCACCTGGGTGACTCAGTCAGTTAAGCGCCCGACTTCGGCTCAGGTCATGATCTCAACGTGGGTTCGAGCCCCACGTCAGGCTCTGTGCTGACAGCTCAGAACCTGGAGCCTGTCTTCAGATTCTGTATCTCTCTCTCTCTCTCTGACCCTCCCCTGCTCATGCTGTCTCTCTCTCTTCTCTCAAAAAGAAAGTTAAAAAAATTAAAAATTAAAAATAAATAAATGATCTGAAAGTTCCTCCCTGTTCCAAAAACAACTTATCCTCTTTTGAACTCACTGACTCATGTAAATGAGGGATTCTAGAAATTACTTTGTTAAGTGTGAATTGTGAATGAATGAGCAAGACAGTCGAAGGCTATGCAAACACGGCATTCAAGATGCAGAAAGATGGTGTTCTAATGGATCTGCCCTTGGCTCAAGGGCCCCCCATCCAGGGCCAAGTGCTGACATTTGTCCTGAGGGCCACATTAGGAGGGGATTCTTGTCATTGGAGATGACACCTCTCAGATTCACAGTCTCTAAGGCTGTTCATCTCCAATACAAGCTATAAATTCTCCCCCACAAAGATCACATTGTTTAACTTTGAAGGAGGGGAGCTCAGACCCAAAACTGAGCCCAGAATAGGTAAGTCAGGGATGTGCACGCTGGCCTGCCTCGTTGCCTACAGCACCTCCTAAGAGCCATCTTACGGGTTCCCTCCTCCTTGACCCGCATTCTAATTCCCACTACATGGATGCAAGTGTGAGTAATTCTTCTCAGTTCTCTTGGACACCAGGGCGAGGAGGCTTTTGTCTGTTCAGTCCTGCCCTCTTTATTCCACATTAAGAAGAAATTGCTCTGCCCAAAGCTATGTGGTTCCCTCCTTGATTCCTCCAGCACCGGAAGCACAGGTGTGCCAGAATTCCAGACGACCACCCATCCCGCTTTTGGAGACCTCCTCTCAGCTGCTGTGGGGCCATTGTCCATAGTGTTCACACTCCCCTCAGCAATCTCTTCCACAGCCCACATCAACTGCCTCCCTGGCAGCATTAGCCTTCTTCACACCTGCACTTCCCTGTTACTATTTTGCCACCTGATGTCAAGCTGATGACTCCAGGAGCTTGTCCCCAGCTTCTGGCCCGAATGCCACCCCCACAGAGTGCTCCAGCCACTATCAGAATCCCCAGGTTCTGTATGAAAACACCAGTTCACCCCGGCCACCTCCTGCTCCCTTACGCACCCTCGTCTGAGGCACCTCCTAGCCCTGAGCAGATGTTGCTGGTGGTAGTGGCCCCAGCCTCACCCCGCCTCCCTCCACCGGAGCAAGAAAGGCAGCAACGCCGTGCGCTCATCATTCTTTTTGTTTGTTTGTTTGTTTATGTTTTTATTTATTTCAGAGAGAGAGAAAGAGAGAGAGAGAGACAGCGTGAGCAGGGGAGGGCCAAAGAAAGAGGGAGACACAGAATCTGAAACAGGCTCCAGGCTCTGAGCTGGCTGTCAGCACTGGTCATGGCCAAGGCCTGGGGGAAGTGACTGCTTAACAGGTACGGCTTTAATGTTTTGGAACTCTACGAAGGCGGTGGTTGCACAACATTATGAATGTACGGTATGTTTTTAAGTGACTAATTTCACGTTATGTAAATTTTATCTCAATTAACAGAACCTTATGAGCTACTTATAGCTGTGATTTCTGTTTCACAGATGAAGCAAGTGGGGTGCCGTCAGTGTGGGTCCCGGGAATTCACTCATCATGAGAGACCCTGAATGATGGCCCCGGCGCCCCGCCCACCCCCCATCAGCAGACTGGGGGACTGAGGTATGGTCTGGTAAAGCAACTTGTCCCAAAGTCTTGGCTCACACCCAAACATAGATCTTGTGACTTTCAAGCAGACCTCTCTTGACTTCACCACCTTTGTGAAATAATATAAAAGAATCTGGAAGCACAGTTTCATGGCACTCACTCATAGGAGATCAGGGTAGAGTCCAGGAAAACACCCTGCCCCTCTATCTCCTGTGGCCAACTAGACACAGTGACCATGCTAATGATTACCTCTGGAGTAGAATTTGATATATTCAGGGAAAACAAAAACAAAAACTTCGTTCTTCCCATGATACTTGAAACACCCATATTAACCATTCTCTTTCCTCATTTAGTTACACATTTCATGGACAAACAGCTAATAGGCTTTGCGTGCTGTTTTCTGGGCACCAGGGCTGCAGAGGAAGGATTACTCAGAGAAGCAAGCCCTTGAATAGCACAGAACCCTAAATTTAAGTACTGAAGTCCCCCACTTAAGCAGGGCAGGACACAGGGTTTGGTAAGAACTGGGGGCTTTCAAGGAAGGCACCATAGCAGAGGGTCTTGGGGAAGAAGAGAGACATTCAGGGATTCTAGACAAGCTTGCATTAAGGCTCCAGGCACCTGGGCCAGAGTCTGTCCCCAGACTTGTGTCATCGACGTCACAGCGGGGCACAAAGAGAGTCCTTGACTGCAGAAGACCCTCCTGGAGCCTCGAGAAGCAAGCAGGTGACAACAGAGGAGGCCCAGCCTTGCCAGGGCAAGGCCAGAAAGAGGATCCCTCCTCTCCCGATGCACGTGGCCGCAGCGCCACCTGGTGTTGGCACCGCGTCTGCGCACTTCCTTGGGCCAGGTGTACTGGGTCCATTTTGCAGCCAAATATTTAGTAAGGGCTTAGTTAATTGGGCACTGGGTTAGACTGGGGAAGAAGGAATAAGAAACAATGCTTCTGAGAATGGGAATCGGCAGGGAGCACCCCACTACTCAGCCACAACAAATCAGAAGAGGGTGCTAACCTGCCTTGCAGGGGGCTTTCTGAAGACTTCTCAGAGGAGGTGATGTTTAAGCTTTCATCTTAAAGGAAAGAGTAGTCATCCAGGCTAAGGTAGTGCGGAGTGAAAGAAGGAAAGGCATTGGGCATTTTCCAGGTGCCAAGGCCAAAGCGAAAGAGAAAACAGTGTTATTACAGAAACACAAATATTGTAGTATGACTGCCATAGGGTGGGTGGGTGGTGAGGGGAAGCATTGTGGCCAAAGAGAGGGAATGTGGAAAGTGGCAAGTTGGAGAAAGATGAAACTGGGCAGGGAAGCAGGCACCAGATCACAAGGAGCCTGGGACACCGTGCTGGGCAGTTTGGATCCTGTACTGAGAGCAACAGAAGATCACAAAGGGCTTCAGTGAGAGAGTGACAGTTTGCATTGTCAAAGAGCCCTCTGGTTCAGTGTGGACAGTGGATGGGAAGGTGGCACAGGCTGGGGACAGCCAGGTGAGAGGTCATGCTGACTGGATGGAGGTATTGGCAGCGGGGACAGAGAAAGGTGAAGAGATCTGAGACGGAGAGTACATGGATGTGCAGTCTAAAGGGGAGGCAGGGCTCAGCCGTGGCAGCCAGAGGGCTTGCTTAGAGCTCCCCACCCCCACCCCACCCCCACCGGCTGGTGAGGAGGAACATGCACAGAGCAAGAAGATGCGGAGACCTGGAGATGTGGGGCACTGGCCCAGTGGAGCCACCAGCAGCAAAGTCAAAGTAGTCTTTTGCAAGATGGTCACCGGGTCTTCTCACATGGTCGCTAGTTAAGGCTCTTTCATCGCCCTATCCTGGTGCACAGCTGCCCGTCACTGCCAGAGTGCTCTTCTTGGATTTCAAGAATCATTGTGGGACAGGATTTGGAAAGCTAAAAATGCAGGGATATCTGTCTCTTCATGATTCTCAGTTAAAGTCTTCTTTGCTGAGTCAGGGGCAGAGTTAACCTGAACTTTGTGAGAAACTTCTCAAGCCCCAGGCTGTGGTCTTTGGTGTCTTCTAGTGGCAAAGAGCTGAATTACATCTCTGTGCATCTGTTTCTGTCTCTGTGTCTGTCTCTGTCTCCCTCTAGTGGCAATAAGCTGAATTACATATCACCTCTCGTGAACCTACACCCCAACAATATGCAACACAGAGGTGGGTCTTAAAACCAGACAGCCCCATGCATCATTTGCCCTGACATCCATTAAGAAAAAGCACCAAGGTCTTCCATATCCTCTCTGATGCAAAAACCCAAAGGAAATGTCTCACTCCACCCTCTAAAGAACACTACCCTTTCTGTTTTCTGTGATACTACACTTCCGGTTTTCATCTTTCAGGAAAAGGTTGGTTGTATGAAGGAACAGAGGGAGCTGAAGCAGGTTTAGTCAGCTTGGGTAAACCTTTTTTTTT